GGTGAGACGAATTTGGTTGAGGGGTCGAGTTATGACCCCAGTGAGGTTTATTGAGTGTAAACCTAGTCACTGCATATGCATTTTTGTGTGATCCTTTCTGCATGTGTGTGATTGTCTAAATTTTGTTGCATGATTATCTACTACATTTCAATGTGTTTGATATGTGCATTTGCATGAATTTGAAACATTATGATTACTTTGTGTAATTGCTTGCATGCATAGTGAGTCAGGATGCATTAGCAGTGTGTTGTGTGTCTTTTGGTGAGGTAGAGTATAGATGCCTAAGGGTATATGGTGGTTTGTACCGAGGGATGTAGAGTGTAACATTTGGATCACGAGTGGAGATGTGATCAAATGTCTAGGATCCTTTATCTGGAAAGAGACCCTGAGTAGGTGGAGTGTGAGAGAGGCACTTCTATCACTTCTGTTAGGTGGAGACCCATTATCCACGTAGGTTGGGAGAAGTGATGTGGAGATAGAGGATTATCCCGTGGACTTAGGATCTATTGTGACTCACCAGTTAGACATGAGTTGAGTGATTTGTCTAGTGAGCGTGGTGGGCGATGAGAGGAGATATGTGTTCTTGAGGTGTGAGCAACACGGAATGGAATAGGATAAGTGTGGTGAGATCTTTTTTTAGGGTCATTTATGCATGTGTTGCATATGTGGTTGACCGTGGTTTGATTGACTTGGTATTAATCTATGGTTCTATGTGAACATGTTTCTGAAAAGATCTGTGTGTGTTATCCTATAGTATATCGTCATCGCATGTGTATTTGCTCTTGATTGTTTACTGTTAAATATTTGCTTCTACTTGGGTGTTTTTGACCTTAGCCCCAGTGAGTACATGGAGCAGGTATGGTATGTGTTTCAAGTTGGAAACACGAGGTAAGGTCTGTGATCCAATTTTATTGGCTACCTTGATTATGCAAGTGTTAACTGTGTGTTTTGATTGCTTGCAGATTTATTGGGCATCAAAGTGGAGATTTGTTGGGTTTTTGATACCCAATAAATCCCGGGCTATGATGTTAACGTGGGTTAATATTATTTTATAGGCATAGGCCGATGAATGAAATAAGTCCAACAACCAAGTCCATGAGCTACACCCGGCCCAATTGTATTCCTTATGGATGGCTTGAATCTTGGCCCGTTTACCCCTTTAATGGCCCAACTTAAAGCCTAACCCTAGAGTATATATATGAATATAACCTTAGCCTCTTTGATATGATGATTGTGTGATTTTGAGAGAAGAAACTAGTGAATCCCGACTGCCCCCCTTTTGTGTGAGAAAAAGGTGTCCAAAAGTGTCCAAAACGCTTGTATAACGTGTGCAATTGGTAGTTCTTTCATAGTATACCTTTGTGGTGTCTTCTTGTCCTACGTGGGTAAGATTGTATAGCAACCAAGGTGAATCAATTGGTTGTGGTTTGGAGCCGTTTTGGATTGGTTGTTGGTAGAGAAAGGTACGTTGGACTGAGCCTGGAAAACCACCGTTTGAAGATCCTTTTGAGAGAGCTTCCGCAACAGAGGGTTTCCAAAATGATAAAAAAATAAGAGATTTGATGAAAAACAAGATCGTTTGAAGGTTTGCAAGGGAGGGAAATTTTCATTTAGTTTTGGGCTCGATTATATTATGAGAAAGACACTTTAGATCGCGAGATATATTTTCCTTAAGAGGAAATTGCACCGTCCTCGGTGTTTTAGCTTTACAGTGCAAAAATCTAGTATAAAGTTTTGTTATTCAAAAATCCAGGATGAATATGATAATTAAATATCTCCCCTAATTCCAACCCTTACCATTTCAATTCACCCTCTCTCTCTCTCTCTCTCTCCCCCCATCTTCATTACCAGGCACCAGTGTTTATATTGGTTATGAAATAGAAAGTGGCACCAGAACAACCATCCAGCGGCGACGCTAACCACGACCATCCGGCGACAACATCACCATTACTGTCAGCGCTTTGAGATCGACATTGCTCAACAACTGATTTTGAAGATTTTTTTTGTGGGAATTTGAGGCGGTGGCGACAGAGGTGGTGGATCTGACGATTGGGTTGGTTTTTGCTGGCGACTGCACTGTGTTTGCGATGTTGCTCGACGACGAATTTTTGAGATTTTTCTTTGTGGGAACTTGAGGCGGTGGTGGCTTGTTGGATCTGGCGGTGGTCTGTGGTGGCTTCTAGATCGCCATCATGTGAATATTGATCTGTCGGTGTCTGAATGGTGCGAATATTGATCTTTTGGTGGTGGCTGTAGCGACGAAACGTGGTGTGTTCAAATTTGGATGGTGGTGGCGATGATAGTGTTTGGATGGTGGTGGGTGATATCGTGTGGTTTATGGCGGTAGTAGCGTTGACAATGGAGACGTTGGTTATGTGTTTTTGGTGGTGGCGATCATGGTGGTTTTCCATCAAATTGGGTATTTGTTGATGTGTGTGGTGGTGGCAGTCGTGGTGGTCTCTGGTGACGGAGGTCGTGGTGGTTGGTTGTGGTTGCCTTGATTTTTGTTTTTGTTGGTGTTGGCATCAATAACAAGGTGAGGGTGATTGCAAGTGCCTGTGACGTCAATGACAGTGCCATAGGGGTGGTGGTGGTGGTCTGTGACCAACTATTTAATTATATGTGACTATGTGACTTTGGCAATGGTAACCGGGTGAGGGTGGTAGCAAGTGGTCGTGATGGCAGTGGCAATGTAATAGGATTAGTGGCGATGATCTGTGACCACTATTTGACTTATGTGACCATCCGTGATCAAATATTTAACTATCATCAACAAATTTGAAAATATGGAACCAATAAATTTTTAGATATGTGACAACCGAAATAAATTATGACCTATAAATTTTTAAATCAGTGACCATCAAAATAATCTATGATTTATAAAAAAAATTATTTTTCATCTCCAAATAATATGTGATTAATTAATTCAATAATATGTGACAAATAAATAAATTGTGACCTAAAATTTTGTATCTATGACTATTAATTTTATAATTGTGACCTTATTACATTTAATTAATAAAATATTTTTAATTAGTAAATAAATACTTGATTTTTGCACTTTTAAACTTAAGACTTGAAAATTGAATTGATGTAAACAATACAAACCTTGTGTCAGGACCTACGGACCAAGGGACAATCTCAGGTAGACAATTTCTATAGGGCGTAGGCCTTCCAAAAGGTAACGGAGGCGTGCAAAGATTTCCTCAGGCCGGACAGGGATTGGCCCTCGAGCGCAAAGTTATGAATTTTTCCCATTCCTTAAACCTAAGGAAGCTCTCAACACCTCTTCTACAAATAGCTCATAGCCAAAGAGATATAGTGGCCCTAGAGAACATTTTCTAGTTACCTTGAATCACCATTCCCTTAATTTATCCTCAATCCGAGCACAAAATACAGTGCAGGAAAGCAAAAGCGTATTAAAAAAACAAAAGAAAAATATAGTGTATAAAAACAAATATAAAATTCTTTTTTACTGGGGAAAAAAACCACCAATAAACACTGATCATTCAAAGAGAAGACATCTGTTAACTCAAATTACTATTTCATCATCCATAACAAGTTACGGTGCTACATACATAAACGTATAGGCACAGGTCGTCAACAGCTATTTTCCAGAAGATCCTGAAGAGTTTACGAACTTCCGAGCAGCATCTAGCGTCAGTTCTTCATAAACCTGGATCATATTAAGAAGAGACGGATAATGAAACGAACGAATTAAAGAAAAAGAAATGCGTTATAATGGTTACTTGCAGAGCAAAGAAACGTATCCATTTAATATACTTACAAGTTTATTATAAACCCGTTGAAATGCCTTGCAAAATCTTTCTGCTTCAGCTGGACCCATCTGAAAGCAACAAGGGAACGCTAAATAAATTATTGACATTTCCCATTGCAAGAAGCGGTAAACAGTTGATTTACCATAACACGCATATCAAACGAAAACCACCTAAAAACTTCATGTTGATAGATGCGGCAACCAGTTATAGCTTACTAGAGAGTAAAGAACAACATTAATAAGTAAAAAAAGTTACTTATTTTGAAAGTAACTCGGTCAATATAATCAACTTGCTTGCATCCAAATTTAACCAATAAATAAAAAATATTGTATACTTATTTACTTGTCAGTAAGCTTTTTAAGATTAGCCAAGCATGCTCATAATTGAAATCTTTGGACAGCTATCTAGTAAGTCAGATGAGAAATGGGTACGTCAGCATACTGGAAACAATGAAGTAAATGGAATTTTTAGAAACCAGAAAAGCAAGCATTTATTTCAATGAAGATGAGAGAAAATTGAACAATGGATGGAATCTGCTATATGAACCCCCCCAAAAAAAAAAAAAAAAAAAAATGGAGCGAGAGAGTGACATATAACCATAATACTAAAATCTGCTTCATAATATAGAACATTAAGCCCTTGTTTGACAACTATTCTTTCTTATTCTTTTTTCTCATACTCATTTTCAACCACACATTCTCACAATAAAAAATTCTTCACGTAAACTCAAAACTTTTCCTTTCTTTCTAACCACACATTCTCCCAAAATTTATTATTCAAAAACTCATTCTTTCCCCAAAAAAAAAAAAAAAAAAAAAAAAAAAAAAAAAATATATATATATATATATATATATATATTATGTCAAACAGGGGCTAAATCTTAAATATATAAAGACGGCTCATCAGATCCTAATAAACAAGCTAGTGAAGAACTTTGAATCATTTAATAATATGAAGAAAAGATCTCAAAATTCTAAAAGAAGAAAGCATACCTTCTCTGTGGCAGCCAACTTTAGTTTGTCCCAAAATGCTTCTGTCACATGCATTAATGTAAAATATGGATTTCATTATAACGAAGAAAAATACAATTGTACAGCATTGAAATTGCTAGTGCATAAAAAATTTATGTGGTCCCAACATCCTTTTTCCAGTTTATATTGGTTCCAAGAAACAACTTATATAAATGGAGAAAAGCATCAGAATAGTTCACTCCATCCACTTTTAGTCATTGCTGTAGTTTAAGCGAGTTAGCGAAAGAATAGCATTGAATAAGTGAGTTCTGAAAAGAAGCGAGATGAAAGAGAAAACATAAGGTGTCAAATAATTAAATAATATAGTTAATATTAAATCTCCCAGTTATATCAAGAAAGATTAGCTTCACAGTATATTTGCAGATTAAGTTCCTTGATAAGGACAATCTTCAGAAGCATATTTCTTCTGAGACATCCTACACATTCATAAAATAAAAGACATGAGTATTAAACTATCATCTTAACTATTTTGTTGATTGCTTTCAAATGCTCACGATCAAAATGACAAAAGGTCAAAATTGAATTGCCTGTGTACCTCTATCATTATCACCATCCCATGCATCTTCCCACTCCACCTGAGTAAATTTTATTAAGTTAAAATGCAGGATACTCGAACTCAGAAGATTCCTATTAATTATGATGTACCTCAGTTTGTGCAGACAGAGAAGTTGATTGCCTCGAACCATCCAAATCCATCTAAAATAAAAACATGAAAGTTAACATTCCAATCCCAAAAGGCAATTACAATGACAATAAAGGGTAAGAGCATTATCCAATCATTGGGGCACGCCTCACAAACCAAAGCATTCTGAATAAACAACCCAAACATGTTTCACTAATTTTTATTGATTTAAATAAAATATTTGAGAATGGATGGTTTAGAGTAGAGCACATAAAAATAGACAAGCACTTAGAACTATAAAGTGAATGTTGCTTTCTAGTTATCTTAAAAAAAAAACCGTAAAAAGTTCGACCATACACACAAAAAATGATATTTCCTACTGAAAATATAGAAATTACGATATGCTATGAGCAAAAACACGAAATAACTGCTAAAAGAACAGACTACAAAAATAGTTTTGATTTCTCAAAGGGGTCTACAATGTTTTCCTAAATGATCTCCGACATCCTCCTATTTTAGTACATCATTATTTATTAAATATTATAGATAGGCAATTGTTTATATTGAACCACCTCATCTTAACGCAAGATTTTTCATGCATAGACGAGTCTGTAAGCACTACAAGAATCTTGGCAGCCAAAAGATCCATATATGTCCCTATCTATCTTGAAAAGAAATACAAAATAACAAAGTTAGCTTTTCATGACAATTCACTTCATCATTTAATGCAATTATTTGACAACCTAAGACTTTTCAAATTTTATTTTTTTTGAAAAAAAAATTAATTTAAAACCAAATTATACACAAAATTGTGCGAGGGTTCACCCTATGTGGAGACCAAAAGAGCTGCAGCTGCAGCTATGAACGGTGAATCAATAAAAACAAAGTTGGTCCCTACATGAAATATTCAATTTCCAGTACAAATTTCAAAGATAGCTGCCAAAGTTGCTCTGAACCACATATCAACCAAATTGTATGAAAATTGTTGGGAAAATTTCAGAAGAACTGTACAAGCCTCAAACACGAGAGTTATACAGAAAAATTACTAGCAGTTAACTCTGCAAAAAGCAGAAATAGAATAGAGTAAGTACTTGTGGTTAGCTAAGAAAACATTGTTCTGCACGTTTCATAAAGCCTCTAGTCTATTGTAGAGAGAGTATTGAAACCCCATTAATTGAGTTATAGTGGAAGTTTAATGTGGGTTACAGTCCCCTGGATTTTCCCTTTGCATTGGAGGGTTTTGAAAGTAAAAATAGATTTCTTCCTCGTTTCATTTGTTTTCAAATATTTTGTTATTTTTGGCTTTGTTGTAATCCAATTTTCATCACACAAAGAAGGGAAAACTCTCCACTGCATATTATTACATGGGAATTTTCCCCAACTAATTGGGCACTTATTACATATGCAATAGCAATAAATTACCACTCAAGCAAAACCAATCATAATGATGAATAGAAAAAGATATCATGATTTAACTTAAGTAGGAAAACAAATAGCAATGTCACCGAGCACCATGCATATACAATTCATTTTAACACTTGCTTGAGTTTAAAAGAAATAATAATGCCATCAAGAAACAAAGTTGCTGAACCAAAAAATTAAGTGGGATTTGATAAAAAAGCTTAGTCAAACAATGATGTTGATAAAATAACCTTCCTTTAATGTTTTTGGGTCAAATGACCTTCACTTACAAAATACGATAAATTAATAATATCAAATATCTAAAATGCCCTCACCATGGAAAATACTCAAATACCCTTTCAATCCAATTAAATCCCTCAATTCATCTACAAAACACATCAACGTGTTTTCTTCCCTAAAATCTTGTTATTCATTGTATTCTTCTTCTATCTTCTCCAATATTGTGAGCATTTGAACAAGAGTTTTGATATCTATATTATCTACATTGAAATCTCTACTATATTTAAAAAAAAAAAGAAATGTATTTTTAGAAATCTCATTTACATTGGTACTTTTATTGTTGAATATAGTATAAAATGATATTTTAATTGATTTTATTTTTTCATTTGGTGTATATTTGTATCCTCCGCAATTATTGAACGATAATGACACTTCAATCGTTATCTGTAGTGTAGAACGACACTACAGTCGTTATTCTCCATGTAAAACGATAGTACAACAGTTATCTGTTATGATTTGTCCCTTATTGATAATATATTGTGGTTATTTTGATAATTTAAATATGGTATCTATTTTCATATTATTTTAATATATCCTTGAATCGATAAAACCATAATGACAGATATTTATTTTTTATTATAACAAAACATCACTGGTACTGTTTTTAGTATTTTATCTAGAAAATATAGAAATGATGTTCAGAAGTTAAATATCATTGATCTAATAACAATTTATTTTTAAATATACAAGTTATCAATTATTCGTATCGTATTTACATAAGTAACAATACTTGTGTTGTTTTCATAACAATAACAGCACTAGTGTTGTTCTCATTTTTCATGTTGTCCAAACAATGAGTATCTTTCAAATTATGTGAGCAGCATGTCCATCTCACGATTCACATGAGTTCAAATTATCGAATATCAATGTCCGGAAGACTCGTGGCTGCTCATACTCGTGTTTATCGACAAAACGACACAAGTGACGATTAACAACACCTGTATCGTTCTCTTGTTTTCTCCTATATTTCTCTTCATTTCCATCATGTCGACTCGAAGAATCAGACCTCCTAACATAAGAAAGTCGAAATTATTGATTACGTGGCGAATAACGACAGAATCGACATAAATTGTAGATGTCGCGTTGGTGAAATCACAAGTCACCATCTACATTCATTGGAAAACAAAAGTAATGAGAGTATCTCCTGAATTATGTGAGCGGCATGTCCATCTCGCGACTTAAATGAGTTTAAATTACGGAATATCAAGGCCCGGAATGCTCGTGGCTGCTCATACTCGTGTTTATCGACAGAACGACACTAGTGACGTTTAACGGCACCTGTGTCGTTCTGTTGGTTTTTCTATATTTCGCTTCATTTCCATCGTGTTGACCTCAAGGATTGAAACTCTTAACTTAAGAAAGTCAGAATTATTAATTACGTGACGAATAACAGTAGAATTGGCATAGATTGTAGATGTCGCGTTGGTGAAATCACAAGTCACCATCCACATTCGTTGGAAAATAAAAGTAATGAGAATATCTCCCAAATTATGTGAGCGGCATGTCCATTTCACGACTTAAATGAGTTCAAATTATCGAATATCGAAGTCCGGAAGGCTCGTGGCTGCTCATACTCGTGTTTATCGACAAAACGACACATGTGACGTTTAATAGCACCTGCGTCGTTCTGTTGATTTCTCCTATATTTCGATTCATTTCCATCGACCTGAAGGATCGGACCTCCTAACATAAAAAAGTCAGAATTATTAATTACGTGACAAATAACGGTAGAATTGACATAGGTTGTAGATGTCGTGTTGGTGAAATCACAAGTCACCATTCACATTCGTTGCAAAACAAAAGTAATGAGAGTGTCTCCCAAATTATGTGAGCAGCATGTCCATCTCGTGACTTAAATAAGTTCAAATTATAGAATATCAAAGCCCGGAAAGCTCGTGACTGCTCATACTCGTGTTTATCGATAGAAAGACATTAGTGACGTTTAACGACGCCTGTGTCGTTCTTTTAATTTTTCCTATATTTCGCTTCATTTCTATCGCATCGACCTCAAAGATCGGACCTCCTAACTTAAGAAAGTCAGAATTATTAATTACGTGAAGAATAACGGTAGAATTGACATAGATTGTAGATGTAGCGTTGGTGAAATCACAAGTCACCATCCACATTCGTTGGAAAACAAAAGTAATGAGAATATCTCCCAAATTATATGAGCGGCATATCCATCTCGCGACTTAAATGAGTGCAAATTATTGAATATTGAGGCCCAAAAGGCTCGTGGCTACTCATACTTGTGTTTATCGACAGAACGACACTTGTGTCATTCTGTTGGTTTCTCCTATATTTCGTTTCATTTCCATCGCGTCGACCCAAAGGATTGAACCTCCTAACATAAGAAAGAATTATTAATTATGTGGCGAATAACGACAGAATTGACATAGATTGTAAATGTCATGTTGGTGAAATCACAAGTCATCATCTACATTCATTGGAAAACAAAAGTAATGAGAGTATCTTGCGAATTATACGAGCGGCGTGTCCATCTCGCGACTTAAATGAGTTCAAATTATGGAATATCAAGGCTCGGAAGGCTCGTGACTGCTCATACTCGTGTTTATCGACAGAACGACACAAGTGACGTTTGACGGCACCTGTGTCGTTCTGTTGGATTTTCCGATATTTCGCTTCATTTCCTTCGCGTCAACTTCAAGAATCGGATCTCCTAACTTAAGAAAATCAGAATTATTAATTACGTTACGAATAACGATAGAATTGACATAGATTGTAGATGTCGCGTTGGTAAAATCACAAGTCACCATCTACATTCGTTGGAAAATAAAAGTAATGAGAATATCTCCCAAATTATGTGAGTGGCACGTCCATCTCGCGACTTAAATGAGTTCAAATTATCGAATATCGAAGTCCGGAAAGCTCGTGGCTGCTCATACTCGTGTTTATCGACAAAACGACACGTGACGTTTAACGACAACTATGTCGTTCTATTGGTTTCTCCTATATTTCGCTTCATTTTCACCGCGTCGACCTGAAGGATCGAACCTCCTAACATAAGAAAGTCAAAATTATTAATTACGTGACGAATAACGGTAGAATTGGCATAGATTATAGATGTCGCGTTGATGAAATCACAAGTCACCATCCACGTTCGTTGAAAAACAAAAGTAACGAGAATATCTCCCAAATTATGTGAGCGACATGTCCATCTTGCGACTTAAATGAGTTCAAATTATGGAATATCAAGGCTCGGAAGGCTCATGGCTGCTCATACTCGTGTTTATCGACAGAACGACACAAGTGACGTTTGACGGTACCTATGTCGTTCTATTGGATTTTCCTATATTTCGCTTCATTTTCATCGCGTCGACCTCAAGGATCGGACCTCCTAACTTAAGAAAGTCAGAATTATTAATTACGTGACGAATAAAGGTAGAATTAACATAGATTGTAAATGTCGTGTTGGTGAAATCACAAGTCACCATTCACGTTCATTGGAAAACAAAAGTAATGAGAGTATCTCCCAAATTATGTGAGCGACATGTCCATCTCGCGACTTAAATGAGTTCAAATTATGGAATATCAAGACCCGAAAGGCTCGTGGCTGCTCATACTCGTGTTTATCGACAGAACGACACAAGTGACGTTTGACGGTACCTGTGTCGTTCTGTTGGATTTTCTTATATTTCGCTTCATTTCCATCGCATCGACCTCAAGGATTGGACCTCCTAACTTAAAAAAGTCAGAATTATTAATTACATGACGAATAACGGTAAAATTGGCATAAATTGTAGATGTCGTGTTGGTGAAATCACAAGTCACCATCCACGTTTGTTGGAAAACAAAAGTAATGAGAGTATCTCTCAAATTATGTAAGCGGCATGTCCATCTCACGACTTAAATGAGTTCAAATTATCGAATATCGAGCTCCGGAAGGCTCGTGTTTGCAAATTATCGACTTAACAGCACCTGTGTCGTTCTATTGATTTCTCCTATATTTCGTTTCATTTCCATCGCGTCGACCTGAAGGATCAGCCTCCTAATATAAGAGAGTCAGAATTATTGATTACGTGGTGAATAACAGCAGAATTGGCATAGATTGTAGATGCCGTGTTAGTGAAATCACAAGTCATCATTCACATTTGTTGGAAAACAAAAGTAATAAGAGTATCTCTCAAATTATGTGAGAGGCATGTCCATTTCGCGACTTTAATGGATTCAAATTATCGAATATCGAGGCTCGAAAGGCTCATGGCTACTTATACCCCTGCAAATAGCAAATTTATTTTATATATTAAATCTCATAATTTTTCTGGCAATTCCAGCATACTCGAAAATACTGGAGAAAAAATAAACTATGTCTGCACACACAAATATAGTCTGCATACTGCATAATTTTTTTGTCTACGTAATCTCAATTATTGTCCAAAGTCGTGGTGGTGATATTGTTCAGACGCTAAATCAATTTGCCGGAGTAGTTTTTGTGGTGCTCAGATTCTACGGATTTTACCATTGTATCCTGAGAAATAGACACTCGGATTAAACCTCAAGCACTTACGGTGAGAGGACGAATCTGTTTTAAGGAAACCGTGTTCGCACAGGCCTTGAATTGAAGATTTATTTATTTTCTGCAATTCACATATTTATTTATTTAACGATTTACATATTTACAGTTTAATCTTATACTTCGTAAATTTTCCAATTTATTTTGTTTTATGTGCTTCATATAATTTTACAGTTTATTATCTGTATGTTAAGAAAAAAATCTGAAGAAAATTAATTAATTTGATAACATCCGATTTGGTAGTTGTCCAACCGGTATTTATTTAGATAATATATGCAAATATGATATTTCTACATTTTGGTGTATGTAAGTGCATATCCGGTATGTTAGTTGCGTATAGGTATCTAGCAAATATGTGTAAATCACTCACTGTATATGAAATGGAATAAAAATAGTTTGTGAAAATTTTGTGCAAATACGGTGAGCTTTCTACAAATACGGTAGACAGCATATACGGTAAGCTACAAATACGATAAGTTTCCTGCAAATACAATAGGTGCAAATACGATAACCTACATATACGGTAAGCTACCTGCAAATACGGTAAGCGACATATACGGTATACTTAAAATTGGTATTTAAACTACATATACGGTGAAAATTTCAGAACGATACAAGTGTCGTTACTGGACATAAAAACGACACTTGTGCTGTTATGTGCATAAATATAAGTATAAGTAGTCACAGTCCATTCTTTCCCTGAAAAATAATAAATGGAACTTATTTATATTGTAATATGTACATGATATGTACAAAAATTAATAGATATGTTTATTAACTTAATCGACACATATAATTGTAATAACTTGTATTTTCACCATCTCAATAATATAAAAATTATGTCATTTCAATCGTTCTTTGTGACTAGTTAATTTTTTTGTGTTATATACGTTAGTGAGTCCATTATTAGAGTCATTTCGTTGAAAAAATCAAACTACAATAGATAACGACTGTAGTATCGTTTTACTTTACAAATAACGGTTGGAGTGGTGTTCTATAAATAACAATTGGAGTGTTATTACATCTAATGGTTATAGATAATACAAAAAGCACACTAAATACGCAAACAATACCAACCAAATACTATTTAATACTATTTTTAATAATAAAAATACAACATATATGGAATTTCTAAGAACATCTATCCTCTTTCTTTTAATGTAAATGTATGCTAATCAAATCCTTGTTCAAATGTGATTGAAGAGAAGAAATATGTGAATGTAATTTTGAGAAGTTAAAATTGAAGAAGAAGAACCGGGGGAAGAATATGTTATTTTTAACAGATAAAAATAGGGTTTTAAGATTAATTTGAAGGAAAAATGATGGGATAAAATGAGTAAAATTGGAAGGCATTAAATTAACAACTAAAGGGGGATTTTGTTTTACATTTTCTATTTGTTTTTATTATTGATCAAAGGTCATTTCATCAAGTACATTGTTTAGTTAGGCCAAATGGCCAAATTCCGCACAAATTAACCATCAAAAGAACAAAACGATTAACACATGACTTGCAAAATTCCATACATAAGCCACAAGAACAATTTAAAAAAAAAAAAAATACAAACAGAAAACGAGAACCTTAGATCAAAATATCCTCAAACCATCTTGGTTGCTCAAAATTAATAAATGAAGATCCATTTCATGCATCTATATGCAAGCAAACACATGGATAAAAAAAGCATATACAAGTAACATGGGTTTGGGGAGGCTTACGTGATAATCGCGAGATCGGACGACAGGAAAGAGCTGAAGACAGCGTCGAAATTCAGATTCATCCATGGGATTTACTGATTACTTTTGTACACTACTATAAATCGGAATTTAGTGAAGAGAAAATCAAAGAGGATAAAGACGAAGGAATTACAGTCGAAATCTGAAAAATCAAAATGGAAAATTTGAATAAATTGGGTTTCGCACTTCTCTCCAGTTTCTCCTACAGCGTTCCTAAGTTTTCGCGCTACAGCAAACGATTTATGTAGTCGCATAAGCAGCTTGCACATGAGAAGGCCGAGTCGGCCCAATATCAAATACAAATAGTCCGATATTTGGGCTTGTGCTCAGCCCTTTCGAAATAATAAACAGTTAAAAACCATGCTTTAACTCCCTCGTCGTGTTCAAGTCGGTCTAAAATGATCTTTCTAGAGTTGTCAAACTAGTCGAGCTGAGCTACTTGCTCTTGTTAGCACCTCTCTAAAAGACTGGGCTAGGATTTGGTACGCGGCTAATCCTTTTTATACCTATACATGTAATGGAAAATTTATAATATTTTTCGCATAGATATCAATATAAAGAAGAGGCATCCAAGTGAAGTCTCTGACAAATAAGATCGAGTCATCTTCAAAAAACATAGCATTTCCAGTAGTTCACCCCTATTTTCTATTGATTGGAGAATTAAAAACAGCCCCTTAGCGCATAGCTATAATAAACATGGATCGGTAGTTTAGCTCAATCTGGTTGACAACTCAAGAAATATATACTGGGAAAATGGATTTGCATTTTGGCATACATTAGTTTTGACAGATATATCAGCAGATTCATTGAAGAAATCTATATTGATTGACCTGATTGCTTGTAAATTAACGTATACTAGATTGGTTAAAGTTTAGTTACCTCCAATGCAATTTGCCCAAAAAACTAGTAGCACTTTCTCGGTACATATATTCAAATAAATGTCCTTTTTAAGTAATTTCAAAATAATTACTTATAAGTAGAGTTAAACTATTAAATTGATCTGCTTAACTTTAGAAAGATAAATCACAAGGAAAAATTGAAACGAATCTATTTCGCCATCTCCCGTTCCCTTAGGTTAATTTAGAGGTTTATAGGGTAACAGTCACTCCCATCTTATAGTAGTGTCAACCAGAGGTGGATTTAGGTGCTGGCCGTCCTAGCTGGATTTATCGAGGAGAATTTTTTTTTCTCATAATAGATAGAATTGTTAGATTATATATTTGATAATTCATATTAACAACAAACATCCCTAGTAGTTCAGTTGGTTAACCCTTCTACTATTGAATTGGAGTTCCTGTGTTCGAAACTCTTAAAGAGCAATATTTTTTTATAATTTTTGTATTTTAACAATTTTTACCAAAATAAATACAAGAAAAGTGATTCAAATCTACTACATTACTTAAAGGTATTGTCCACTTTACCATCACAGCACTTCCTGATTTTTAACACATAATGTAACAAAATAATATATATTCAATTTTACTGATTTAATGCAAGTACAAACATTTTAATCGGTGCTTGCTTTGTCCCTCTTCTTGATTTTCTTTTCTTTTTTTCCCTCTAATCACTTGATTTGAGAGTTTGATCAATTAATGATGGATGAATTTGTAGAAAAATTGGCCTTAGTGTCATGAGGAATCTTTCAATAAAACTTAAAAATTTTACTTTTCATTCATAAAAAATTAATTGCGAAAAAATGAAATCATACAAACACATAAAATTGATATAAGCTATAAGCACATAAATAATTTCAATTTTGTTAATATAATAATGTTTGTTTAATTAATTTTGATTGTAAACTGAGTATTGACATTTTGTTAACATATATTGCCTATTTAATTGAAAAATAAATTAGGACATTTTGCAAATTATTGAACGATTTTTCATTCAAAATGAAAGTTCGTACCTAGTTCCAATCCAGTGGTGTATCTATTTCTTCTAATTTTAATTTGTACGATTTTTTGAATATTATTTGTTACGCCCCTATCTGAATCGCCTCGAAATGCTCACCACCATACATTCCGACCTGATAGACACCCATTCGAAATGTTTCTGAAGTGATCTCACCAATGTGAACGACCTGATAACACACTGTGAGACATAGGTGATCTTGCTGAACTGACCAAAGCGCCCTCGCCCCTGAGGCCGAGGCGAAGTGCACCTCTGTTAGAAGATTCGCCGTCAATTTCAGAAAGAGATTTTTGCCAAGATCCTCTCTGCACCTAAGGTTTAAATTGATTTGACGTCTTCATGAGGCTAGTTGATGTGACTTATCAACTTTATGTCAACTCAACACGGGAGAAACAAACTGCCCGCCCACTCTACAGATGCAGCTGATTGACGCCTATGAGCGGACGCCTCATACCGTCAGATGTATACACGTGTCTCACATCCAACGGTTCATCCCACCTATAAATACCCAAGGTTTGGCAAGAGGCAAAGGTAATGAAACTCTTACTACATAACACTCCATAGCAAGTTTATATATTTTCTCCTCCCCCTTAGTGTTTTTGACACAACCTCTAGGTACCACCTGAACCTAATTTGACCGTCGAAGTGTATACGACCGCCGCCACCCCCGCTGGTCCCGGCCCTGTGCGTCTGACCGTGCGTTGATTGTGTGCAGGGAGGAATACGTGGAGTAGCTATCGGTTGGCCATGTGGAAGGTCCAATTTTCGAGGTCAACAGATTGGCGCTGTCTGTGGAAAGCACTTCCCGTTCAAAGTTCTACATTCTCCATCGGAGAAGTTACCGGAAAACTAGCGACTAACCCTAAAAAGGGCACGTTCTTGAAAAGAACAAAGTCGAGTTACAATCCAAGTTCTCACCACCCTTGAAAAAGGAGATAGGATGAGCTACAGCCATGAAGACAACAACCCCATGAGAGGGGCCTCTGAAGAAGAGGTGCTCCATAACAATGTTACTCATCAAAGACCCCATCACCAGTGTCGCCGAGATGGAAGAACAACCATGCTCACTGAAGGAATGACTCAAATAGCTGCGGGTATGAGAGACATCGCAGCTCAGAATATGGCAATGCATGAACTCCTCATGCAAGCCCAAGGTCACTCGGATTTTCAAATGCCCCAAGGATATTACCCAGTGCAGGAAGCCCCAGTATCTCGTTCTCGAGGCCACACTAGTCAGCACAGAGAATGCCCCCTCGAAAGAGAAGTGGGCGTTGAAGCCACATCTTATGTGCAAGGGAGCTAGCCATCAGAACCCCACTTGGGGGATAACTTCCCTCAAGAATATGAAGAATAAAGATCCGTAAGCATCTTCGACTGGATAGGGGAGGATCCTAGCAATAGGGTCCGCCCAGTGAGAAGATCAGTTCGACCGGATCAGGAACAAGAACATGCCCCTTCTCCTCCTAGAAATAGGAAGGACATGAGGAACCTAGTTGATTGGAGGAGTTGAGGAAGGGCACCTCTACCTCCCCAGAACATTCAAGATGATGAAAGGTCAGATGGGCCCTGTCGATCTTATGAGATTGACGATGATGATGATAACCTCCCTTTCTCAAGGGAGATCCGAAGCTTCCCAATGCCAGCAAATTTCATGCCCCCTAAGATCCCCAAGTATGAAGGAAAGGGGGACCCGAAGAAGCACCTCACCAAGTATATGACACAGATGAGCCTAAGGGGAGCCTCGCCCGCCTTGAAATGCAGAGCCTTCCATTTAACACTAGGCGGAGCCGCCAAAGTGTGGTACAACAAGCTTCCTCCCCTAAGCGTTAGAAGTTTGTCAAATTTGAAGAAAGCATTCTTGAACCAATACCTCTCACACAGAGAAGAAGAGACACCAGTGCAACGCCTGCAAAATATGAGGCAGGCCCCTGGGGAGACGCTGAAAAGCTATCTCGCCAGGTTTATAGACGAAATCACCTACTGTGAACAAGTCACTGACAGAGAAGCCCTTTCAGTCCTGAAAGACGGGCTCAACATAAACACTTTGTTCTGGAGGGAGGTGCGCAGCAAGAATCCCTCCACCTATAATGAACTGGTGGAAATTATGAGTGAAGAAATGATTGATCACCGAAACCGTGCCGTGCAGGGACTCCCTCCGCCTCAGAGGCAGGTAGGTCGAGGACCCGCATCACACCTTGTTGCTCAGTAATGGACTCGGGCAGGTCACACAATAGCTCCCACCTCCGGGCAGGCACTGGCTTCTGCCACACTAAATGCAGTGCCGGTATTGACATATGAAAATGCTCCTGGCGAAGCAAGGCCATCTGGTGATGAGTGAATTTCACTCATTGATTTAATGTCTCATAAACTTGAAATATTTGGTTGTTTTCGAGAAAAGTAGAACATTTTGATGCGGGTATTCGTGTTGTTTTATAGGTAAACCAAATTGATGAAATTGGGAGTTTGAAGGGTGGAAAAGAGTCAAAGTTTCATAGAAGTGAATGGACAAGAAGAAGCATCAAGATGCACGTGGAAGACGATGGAAGAAAGAAGGAAGAAAACCAACTATAACACAGTGCCTAGGTACCACAAAATAACGCCCAGGCGCTGAACACTCAGAGGAAGCAGAACTGCAGCGCCTAGGCGCCACAGTGCAGCGCCTGAAAACGATGCAGAAACATAGCGCCTAGGCGCCACTTTGGCAGCGCCCAGGCGCTGCATGCCGAGAAAAGAAAAAACGCGATTTTTCAAATATTTTTTGACCCGGCTCAACTCCAACTCGTAATGCAAATTAAGGGGATTACAAATACATATGGATAGATCTAAGAAAGGAGGTTTTTGACGGCTGAAGAAAGGAGGCAAGGATATACACTAATTGAGAGAAGAATCATCGGATCTTGGAGAAGGAATCAAGCTGCAACCTGAGTTTTTTCTTATCTTTCTTTTCTCCATGAGATTTAATTTATATTTTATCATGTTCTTCTCCTTAATCATGAACTAAGTTATTAAATCTAGGGTTTGATGTAACCTATTTGAGACATGATTCAATTTCTTTATAGTATTTCCATTTAATTTTCCAGAATTGATTTGTATTGTTCTTGCTTAATGCTTTCGGTTGCTTGATCACCAATTGAATGAATTGATGCTCTAAGTTTAACGCTCGAGAGAGGGAAATTTAGGCATGATCTAAGAACAATATAACTTAGATTTGTAGATTTCGAGAGAAAGTACAATTCTTTGAGGGTAAAACAAGAACCAAGCGCATGACAATCTTCATAAATTTAACTCGGAATAGAGATATTGGGGTTGAATTATAGAGATAGGTTCTATTTGACGCTCGAGAGGGGGAAATAGAATTAATTTAGGATTCTTGCCTATGAATTCGAGAAATAATTAATGGAAGTATCTATAGGGGTTGAGAATCATGTTGATAATACTGTGAAATCACTCCCTAGACTTTACGAAATTCTGAATTAATCTTTAGAAATTGCCTCACTTTTCTTGCATTATTAAATTCATCAACATTAGTTTAGCATTCAAACATCAATTTAACATCCGATTGTCTACATATAGTAAATGCAACATAATTATAGTACTCAGTAGAAGTCGAATATCAATCACAGTGGATTCGACAATTTTCAATTCTTTAATATACTACAAAACTTGACACCGTGCGCTTGCGGTATAAAATCACGTTACATAAATCACGTGGCAAGTTTTTGGCGCCGTTGCCGGGGATTGATTCATTCGAATTCAATTGATATTATTACCAATCGGCGTTCATTTTACTCTAGATTTTTATTTTTACCGTAATTTTTATTTTAATTTACTCTTTTTGTGTCTATCTTTAAAAGCTTCCTTGTGATTATTTTCAGCTGTTTATGCGAAGGGCGAGAAATCTAGATCTACTACCTGTTGATCCTGAACCAGAACGCACATTTCGCATTCTCAGAGGCATACAAAGAAACGAACGAGAAGCAATGGTAGAATAGGATGCTAGAGCAGCCAATGAGGATAACCAACAAAGGGCTATTCGGGACTACATAAGGCCGGTTGTCAATGACAACTATTTCGGCATCGCACGCCCAGCAATTGCTGCAAACAATTTCGAATTGAAGCCAGGGTTGATACATATGGTGCAGCAAAATCAGTTTGGGGGTGCTGTAATAGAAGATCCAAATGCTCATCTTGGATCCTTTTTGGAAATTTGTGATACGGTGAAGATGAATGGGGTTACTGAAGATGCAATTAGACTCTGCCTATTCTCATTCTCTTTAAGGGATAAAGCAAAGGCTTGGTTCCAATCACTATCGTATGGCTCAATTACAACTTGGGATGATTTGGCTCAGAAATTCCTGACCAAGTACTTTTCGCCTTCTAAATCAGCTCAACTTCGCGGTGAAATTAGTCAATTCAAACAACTCGACTTCGAGCCATTCTATGAAGCCTGGGAAAGATTTAAAGACTTGCTTAGGAGATGTCCTCAACATGGGTTCCAGAAATGGGTGCAGATTGAGATATTTTATAATGGGCTAAATGGGCAAACAAGGACTATGGTAGATGCAGCTGCGGGAGGCATTTTAATGGCTAAAATAGCAGAGGCTGCATATGCTTTATTAGATGACATAGCCAACAACAGTTACCAATGGCCAAGTGAGAGATCGGGTGTAAAGAAAGTAGCAGGACTTCATGAAGTGGATCCCATCACCGCACTAGCAGCTCAGGTTGCATCACTCACAAATCAAATAGTCACGCTTACCACTCAAGGAAATAAACAAAAGGTAGATTCAGTCATGAGTACTTCTTCATCACACCAAGAGACAGAGGTTGCAAACGAGCAGGCCCAATATGTCAACAGTAGAAACTACAATCAAAGAGGAAGCTACCAAGCTAATCACTATCATCCAGGGCTGAGAAATCACGAGAACTTGTCATATGGTAACAATAGAAACACACTTCAACCTCCACCCGGATTCAACACTCATAATTCTGATGGGAAACCACCCTTGGAAGATATCCTTGGGACATTCATTTCTGAGACAAGATCACGCTTCAACAAAGATGAATCACGTTTGGATAATATTGAAACACATGTGTCCAACATGGGAGCCACAATGAAGAATCTTGAAGTGCAAATTGGCCAATTGGCTACCTCAATGAAGTCTCAGCAAAAAGGAAAATTTCCAAGTGATGCAGAGGTCAATCCAAAGTAGCACTGTAAAGCTGTTGTATTAAGGAGTGGCAAGCAAATTGGAGAAAGTGAACTCACCGAAAATATCAACCCTACACCTGATAAGGAGAAAGAACAAGTAGTAGAAGAGCAAGAAAAGCAGGCCAAAGGAACAAATAAGGCCCACAAACCTTACTCCGTATCCTTCCCTGACAACCCACCAATTCTCACACCACCACTTCCATTTCCACAGCGTTTTCAAAAGAAAAAATTTGATAATCAATTTGCAAAGTTTTTAGAAATTTTCAAGAAAATTCACATTAATATTCCTTTTGCAGATGCTTTGGAACAAATGCCAAATTACGCAAAATTTATGAAGGAAGTGATGTCAAATAAACGTAAATTGGAGGAATATGAAACAGTAAAATTGACAGAAGAATGCAACGCTATTCTTCAAAAGAAACTTCCTCAGAAGAGAAAAGATCAGGGCAGCTTCACTATTCCGTGCACCATTGGAAGCTCTTCCTTTGAAAAGGCCCTCTGTGATCTAGGAGCAAGCATCAATTTAATTCCGTTATCAGTATTCAAGAAGTTAGGCCTCGGGGAGGTCAAGCCAACAACAGTGACTCTACAACTAGCTGATAGGTCCCTCACCTACCCACAAGGAATTATTGAAGACGTGTTGGTAAATGTCGACAAATTCAACTTCCCAGCTGATTTTGTGGTATTGGATATGGAAGAAGATCAGGAAATCCCACTAATTTTAGGCAGACCATTTTTAGCAACTGGAAGGGCATTAATTGATGTATAAGGGGGACAATTGACATTGAGATTGAATGGAGAAGAGGTGAGGTTCAACATTTACCAAGCAATGAAGTACTCAGACGACAATGACACTTGCCACAGGATTGACTTCATTGATTCTGCTGTGAGAGATGAGAAATTATGTATTAAAGATCCTCTAGAGCAATGTATGATGTTTAGCACAACAAATGATGATATTAGCACTTTTGGAGATTACATAGGGAGCAAGGATTTGGTTGATTACATATTGGCTCTTGAGTCTACATCAGTTGTGAAAAACCCATCACAATGTGAGGATATTCAACAGTCAGAGGAAGCAGATAATAAAGAAAGCAATGAAAACAATAAGATTGAACTGAAGCAATTACCAGATCACCTTCGCTACGCATTTTTGGGGGACAATTCTGCATTTCCAGTGATTATTTCTTCATCACTCACCAGAGACGAAGAAGATAGATTATTGAAAGTGTTAAGGGATCATAAGGCCGCTTTGGGATGGTCGATAGCTGACATCAAAGGGATAAGTCCTACAATCTGCATGCATAAAATCCTCATGGAAGAGTCTTACAAGCCATCCATCAAACATCAAAGAAGGTTAAACCCAGCAATGAAAGAAGTGGTTCGAGCGGAGATTCTAAAACTATTGAAGGCAGGAATCATTTTCGTCATTTTAGACAGTGAATGGGTCAACCCAGTGCAAGTGGTACCAAAGAAAGGAGGGATGACAATAGTTAAGAACGACAATAATGAGCTAATTCCAACAAGAACAGTAACTGGCTGGAGGGTGTGCATTGACTACAGGAAACTAAACAAGGCAACTAGAAAGGACCATTTCCCACTGCCGTTCATAGATCAAATGTTAGATAGATTAGCTGGCTACTCTTACTATTGCTTTCTCGATGGATATTTGGGCTACAACCAGATTGCTATAGCACCAGAAGATCAGGAAAAGACAACCTTCACCTATCCTTATGGAACTTTTGCTTACAGACGGATGCAATTCGGATTATGCAATGCACCGGCCACTTTTCAGAGATGCATGATGGCAATCTTTGCAGACATGGTTGAAGACATCATGGAGGTATTTATGGATGATTTCTCCGTGTTTGGTACTTCTTTTGATAACTTCCTTCACAATCTCTCCTTAGTGCTGCAACACTGTGAGGAAAGGAATTTAGTTCTCAATTGGGAAAAGTGTCGCTTCATGGTACAAGAAGGTATTGTGCTAGGCCATCATGTTTCGACGAGGGGATTGGAAGTGGACAGAGCAAAAATTGATACAATTGAAAAGCTACCACCACCCACCAATGTCAAAGGCATTCGAAGTTTTTTAGGGCACGCTGAATTCTACAGGAGATTCATCAAAGACTTCTCAAAAGTGGCAAAACCCCTATGTAACCTTTTGGAGAAGGACACAACGTTCGTATTTGATGAAGACTGCTTACGGGCTTTTGAAATCATAAAGGCAAAATTAGTGACTGCCCCAATGATGGTAGTACCAGATTGGGATTAGCCATTTGAGGTTATGTGTGACACTAGTGATTACGCAGTAGGGGCAGTTTTGGGACAAAGGCATGATAAGATTTTTCGGTCAATCCACTATGCCAGCAAAACTCTTAATGGAGCTCAACTAAATTACACAACAACAGAGAAGGAAATGCTAGCAGTAGTCTTTGCATGTGACAAATTCAGATCTTACCTCATTGGCACCAAAGTGATAATTTACACGGACCATGCTGCAATCCGTTATCTCTTTCAAAAGAAGGATGCCAAACCATGCCTAATTCGATGGATACTGCTACTACAGGAATTTGATGTAGAGATTCGGGATAAGAAAGGTAGTGAGAATGTCGTTGCAGACCATCTCTCACGATTGGAGAATGAAAAGGTGGTGGATGATAGTCAAATTCGAAAAACGTTCCCCGATGAGATCTTGCTAGCTTTATCAACAAAGTCCCATGGTATGCTGATTTTGTTAACTATTTAGTGTCTGGAAGATTGCCACCTGACTTGACCTTTCATCAAAAGAAGAAATTCCTACATAATGTCAAGTCATACATGTGGGATGATCCAATCTTGTTCAAAAGGTATGCTGATAGAATAATTAGGCGGTGTGTCCCTGTGGAAGAAACACCATCAATCATGCAGCATTGCCACTCTTCACCTTATGGAGGTCATTTCGGTCCTACACGTACTGCTGCAAAGGTATTGCAATCTGGTTTCTATTGGCCAAATCTGTTCAAAGACTGTTATGCTTTTGTAAAGACATGTGACCGCTGTCAGCGCACTGGAAACATTTCAAGACATCATGAGCTACCATTAACCAGTATGCTTGAAGTGGAATTATTTGATGTGTGGGGTATTGATTTCATGGGTCCATTTCCACCTTCCTTTGGTCAAGAGTATATTCTCCTCGCAGTAGATTACGTGTCTAAGTGGGTTGAAGCCATTGCCACACCAACAAATGATGCAAAAGTGGTGTTGAGATTTTTACAGAAAAATATCTTCACTCGATTTCGCATGCCTAGGGCGATCATAAGCGATAGAGGTACACATTTCTGTAACAAGCTATTCAATTCTCTTCTAACTAAGTATGATATCAAGCACAAGTTGGCATTGGGTTATCATCCATAGTCAAATGGGCAAGCATAGGTGTCTAACAGAGAGATTAAACAGATTTTGGAAAAGACAGTGAATACCAATCGGAAGGACTGGTCTCTCAGACTAGATGACGCTCTTTGGGCATACCGAATAGCATTTAAGACTCCAATTAGAATGTCGCCCTACCATCTAGTATTCGGGAAAGCTTGTCATCTACCGGTAGAATTGGAGCATTAAGCTTATTAGGCGATGAAGAAATTGAATTTAGACATGAAATTGGCCGGTCCACAATGCTTGTTGCAACTTGATGAACTGGAGGAATTCAGGAACGATGCATATGAAAATGCAAAGATATATAAAGAACGGACAAAGATGTGGCATGACAAGAGAATATTAAGGAGGGATTTCAAGACAGGAGAACCCGTTCTCCTATTCAATTCTTGCTTGAAACTCTTTCCAGGCAAGCTCAAATCCCGATGGTCAAGACCATTTGTAATCCGTAAGGTATTCCCTTATGGTGCAGTGGAATTAGTAGGCGAGGACGGGTCTACCTTTCAGGCAAATGGGCAACGCCTCAAACATTACTATGAAGAGAAAAATTGGGATGTGGAAGAAATTGCCCTTGATGAACCAACTTGAAACCACATCCACGTCTAGCTAAAAACGTAAAAGAAGCGCTTTTTGGGAGGCAACCCAAGCTCTATCCTTAAGTTTTCATAAAATTCATTTATTTCGGTTTTCGTTATTTTATCTATTTAAGTGATTTGATTTTCGTCTTCTTTTTATAGGTACATGCTCGAATTGGAAGCATCAAACCAAGAAAGGAAATAGGGAAGGACCACATTGTAAGACTACATGGAAGGTAAAAAAAAAAAAAAAAAAAAAAAATTCAGAAACTTAGCGCCCAGGCGCTGTAATCCCCAACCGGGGCAGTAAGTCAGCGCCTAGGCGCTGTCTTTTAAAAAAAAATTTTAGTTTATATAAAAAAAACAAAAAAAAAACAAAAAAAAAAAACAAAAACCTACCTTCCCCCTTATTCTATTCCTTCCTTTTTTCCTCTCTTTCCCCTCCCCTATAAGAATTGCTCCTCTTCTATTTCACTATTAATTTTTTTCTTTTAAAACACAATCAATACATTTTCTTGTATTTCATACTCTACAATTAGTGAAGGGGCCACTTGCTTGATCTTTGGGATCTCCATCTTTCTACTTGTAAGTGCTCTAACTTTCAATTTTTATTTTGGCACTTCAACTTCATTATTGATTGGGTATATTTGGATTCTTGGATTTTTTTTATGGAGTTGTGATGATTGAAAATCTGATGGGATAAAATTATTGCTGGGATATTATGCGAAATATGATGAAATTGCCTTGCTCCCAAGGTGTTTGATTAAATTCTTAGGAGAATTTTTCTTGTTGAAATAACCTCAAGCTAATTGCTTACTTTTGCACTTTGCTCAGGTTTGTTTATATTTCAGTATGCCTCCCAAGCGGGCTCGCAACACCACCTCTTCTTCCTCTGCTTCTTTTGACAGAACCAAATTTATAAGTGAAGCAGCTGCGGAACGGTACAACACTTCGGTGGTGCATAAAAACTATATTCAGGAGAGGGGTTTTGACAAATATATGACTACACAAATTCAACAGAGGGGATGGCAATTATTTGCTCAACAGCAGCAACCAGCCCTTATTCCTGTTGTTCGGGAGTTCTATGCTAACGCAAAGGAACACAGAAATTTTCGGGCATTTGTGAGGGGCAAATGGATTGCTTTTGACAGAACTTCCATCAATCAATTTTACAATCTTCCGGATGTGGATAACAGTGACTACTCTATGTTGCGTGAAGAAGGAGTAGATCCCGGTGAACTATTACGAGTGTTAGCTCGTCCGGGCACTACTTGGAAATGGGTTGGTGACGACGTGCCATATTTTCCTGTCACTGGGATGATTGTTGAACATAAAGCGTGGCATCATTTCATCTCAGCCAAATTCCTCCCAAGTAGCAACCTCGGTGAAGTCACGAAGGAGCATGCAATACTCAATTATGCTATTCAATGTGATAAGTCCATAGATGTTGGTCAGGTTATTCACAATAGTATTTTGCATACCCTGAAAGGTTCAACGACTGGCAGTCTTGGGCACCCGTGTTTGATTTATGAATTGTGCAGAAAGGGGGGCATTATAACATTCTCATCGGAAGAGGTGGTACATCCCAAACCACCTATCACTAGGAGTTGGGCTTGGAAGTTCATGAGCCGGCAGGGCTCCACTAGTACCACACCCTCGGGATCGGAGACACGACCAGCTCAATCACGTAGACCCCGCTCATCCAGTGACCCGAGCAATGATCTCGCTACCCAGTTACGTGGGATGCAACTGCAAATGAATACGCTGCAAAATGTCATGT